AAACTGTTGAAAGCTGTGTGTAGTAGTTGATGTAAGGTTGGAATTAAAACTTGTTTTTTATTGAAATTATCCCTAAGGTGAAATCAAGAAGAAAAAGAAGGAACAGAAGGAAGAAGAGGTTAAAAAGGATGGTAAAAAGGAAAACAAGAAAGGCAAGAAAGAGGTAAGAACACTGTAAACCTGTAAGAAAAAAATCACCTGTACCAACTCCAACTCAAGTGGCAATCCACATACACATACAGCCTGCATTCTTTAAAAAAATGCTGTTTCATTTCCCATTATCACATCAGTAATTCACTTTGGAACACCTATTGCAGGGTATGATTCCTACAAATTTATTCAGATTTCAGGATTGTGATTGAAAAATGTCTAGATTTTATAATCACAGCCCGTAATGTGGACAAACTAGGTGTGTGTGTATTGGGTCATATATATTTATCTCTGAGCAAACTTCACCCTGGTGGTAAATGTGACACAGAGGCACTACATTATTCCATGTTCCACAAGCGTGAGCGTGATAATGAATTTCTTCTCAAGCAAACTTGGCACGCAGTAAAGATGTTTACAGGGACCTATGTGTGCAAATGCACATTCTTTGCATTCACAGTAATTTTTCAGATGTGCTTTTTATTTCTAGTTTCAAAATAATGCAATGCATTTGGATGAAGGGGAGACGATGGGCTTTGCAAATTTACAGCTAACACTGATTATTTATTCCATAATAAACCAAACGAACCAACCTGGCAAACTGCTCAGACAAAAGTGACCAGCACACACATTGGTTCTGCCTTTGAAGCTGTAATCAAATAGCTGGGTCATAACTCCAGCGCCTGTGTGGTCAGCAGGGGAATTTACTCCAGCAACCCAGCCTAGCAGCAATAAACTATTTGAAGCCCCAATGGGCCTAAAATGAATTATTGCCGCATATGTCAGACACAAAATGAATGAAATCTTACACCAGCGCAAGTTTAATTCTTTTGTTATCGTATGGCCAGAGCAGTTTTAATTCCAGATCGATAACCAATAGCATTTTATGTAAGTGATAGTTTAGCATATCCACTGTCAAAGCGTAAACTGCGAGACAACATTGTAAATAAGCTAAACTAAGCAAGTCCCGGTCGAAGCGTAATCCGCGAACGGTAACTGGCTGCACTTATCAAGTCCCCGGTCGAAACATAGGCCGTGAGACAACAGTATAAGACAATTTGAACGTAGCCAGTCTCCCAGGCTGGTGCCTCCCCCAAGGAGAGGATAATGCCACACGGGAGGTCCAATGGATGAACAAGTCGCCAACCACCCAGACAAGGGGCTTGTTGTCGATCGGCGGATTTGCTCATGGAAGTAAAACAAATTAAATAACTATCAATACTTAAGGGAAAGTGAGCGTATGGTTGGAATCACAGTTGTTTTGGGCGTGGGGTAACATAACCCCAATGTACAAAGCAGCCACAAATTTGAAAGCTCATGGGGAGAAGGTCACTGCTAATACGAATGTAGCAGTGGTAAACGCCTGACTGCCAACAACCCATCAGTTGGATCTCATCGTCAGGAATTCCCGCCATTGCGGCTGCTGTGGCCGCACCAATCCGGAAGGAAAGAGAAGTATATCGGGTATCATGAATGCCAATGAAGCCAAGGGCCCGCCTTAAAACAGCGGTGAATTGAGAACGTGTAACTGGAGAACCATCAAAATGGGACAGGAAATTGCTGAAATGCTGAGGACACGTGCTTAGGAACTGTGTAGTGGCCTGAACAGGGCACAGGGAAAATTCGCCCTCAGAAACAGCAGGTATTGAAATAACACAACCCTGACCGTACTGGTCGGTCTTGGAGAAACGAATGTTTAGATTAACCACACTGGCAGAAGAGGTACGACGAAGGGTAACATCAGAACGACGTAAAGGTGAAATTCCAGATTGAATGGACACGGAGAGTTCACCGACGTGCAGAAATCCAAAAAATGCTAACAGGAAAGCCACTCAAAACAGTAGGGCTTCATACTGATTGGTACAAACGGAGTGCAAAGCAGGAATAATACGCCGCAGTAAAACAATCGTAATAGGGCGGCATTGATCGCGCCAACCGTACCAGCGGTGGCAACCATCTAACATTCCTTTCACAATGAAATGTTGAGTTATGTCATGGGAACCCTGCAAGCAGAGTGTAGACACAATCCCTGAGACATACGATGCAACAGTAGCCGGAGCGTACCCATTAATGGACAAAAATGCAATAAAGTGCATGAGCTGCTGCAATGTGGGACTAGAAGATGTATTAAGAAAACCGTGGCAGGAAATAAACCAACAGAAAAATTGCCAAGCACATTGGTAAACTGAATGGGTACGCGGGGCAACTGAGTCCATCAAAAGACTGTGAACCTCTACATTAAGTTGTTCCAAAGGTCTGCAGGCAAGGGTGTCATAACGGGGGCGGCCTCGGGCGCCAGCCGCCAGAAACGATCCATCTGAAAACAAGATAGAGCATCAGCGATGCCATTATTGAGACCAGGTACATGGCATGCCTTAAAGTGGATATTCAACCTCAAACAAAGCACTGCAAACATGCGAACCAATTTCATAATTCTGGGACACCTTGATGTTTGGCTACTAATAATCACCACCACAGCCTCATTATCACACCAAAATATGACACGCTGGTTTTGCAAGACCGGGCCCCATAAGCGTAACGCGAGGGTGATTGGGAAAAGTTTGAGAAAAGCAATGGATAAATTCAAGGAGCGCCATTTTAGTGGCCACATGCCTTGCGTCCAACTCCTATTAAAGAAAGCTCCGAAACCGAACTGCTGGGATGCGTCCATATACAAGTGCAACTTGCCGCTAGAATACCATACCTCCTGAGGGAAAATAACCGAACCATTGAAATGGATCAAAAATTCCCGCCAAGCCAGCATGTCGGCCTGCGCACCGGATGAAATACGGATACAATGATGTGGTTTCTGAATGCCGCTTGTGAGATGGAAGAGACGACGCAAGAAGGCCCGGCCCGGCCGTATTGCCTAATAAAATTTAGGCTACCCAGTAATGATTGAAGCTCTCGTAGGGTGACTTTACACTTGGACAAAGTGCAATCTAACTTCGCCGGAATTGCAAGGACCTTGGCCGTAGGAACCGGAATCTGCTGGGCAACTGTATCAATCGTTAAGCCCAGGAAATATAAGCTTGTCACTGGCCCCACGGTTTTGTCACCGGCCAAAGGAACACCAAAGTCCCGGCAAACTACTGTGAAAGAAATAAGCGCATGTGCACACTCGTTGGATTGCCTTTCGCCCACAAAGAGAAAATCATCCAAATAATGGAGAATGTGCGGAGTAGCTGCAACCTTACGAGTGCAGTATTCGAGAAAGGTGCTAAATCGTTGGAACATGGCACAAGAAATGGAGCAACCCGTGGGCATACACTTGTCATAATAAAATGAACCGTCGAACAAAAAAAAACAGTAAATCATAATCATCAGGATGAACAGGGAGTAAACGAAAAGCCAATTTTATATCTGACTTGGCCAGAAGGGCTCTGGGGCCCAAACTAGAATCCAATTCAACAGCATCATCAAAAGTCGTATAAGACACCGCAGCCCTGGCTGGGTCGATGTGATCATTAATTGAATCACCCAAAGGAGACGAAAGGTTATGAATTAAACGGAACTCACCAGGGGTTTGTTTCGGCACTAAACCTATTGGAGAACAACGAAAATTGGGAAATGGGGGACTGGGGAACGGGCCAGCAATCCTACCCAAATGTAACTCACGGTCAAGTTTGCATTTCAATACCTCTCTATTTTGTCGAGCAGAGATCAAATTACGGGCAGAAGTGCTTACCCGAAGACCCTTATACCCTATACGGAAACCTGACGTAAAACCCTCTAACAGCACTGAGCGTCATGCCTGTCACCATATGATGCCAAAAAGGGGCGCAGTTTATTTATTCTTACCGGCGTTGGGAGGTGTGGTTGGACTGAGTGCTCCCTGCACTGAGCGAGGGCTGCCACGGCAAGAGGCAGCAGAATGGCCGACGGACAAGCAGGTTGCACATTTGTGGGCAAAATGACAGGCGGATCTGAAGCAGTGGCCGTGGTTGAAATCAAAACAGATTCCAGGAGTGTGCTCGTGCTGGGCGGTGTGGCTTGACCCAATGTTGGTGTGACCGATTGCCCGTTGGTTGGAATAGGGACGAAAAATGGCGTGTTGGACGGGCGCACCGATCAACGTTAGCCATAGTTCAGCGTCAATACTGGCCCATGACCGAGACAGCATGTGTGCTTGGCGCAACCTTAATTGAATATCATAATCACGCCACCCATAACCTACTTGCCGAAAAGCAGCCGAACGGACAATGTCGGCATATTTTAGCAGCTGCCTTGCCTGAGTAGGGTGCCACATCAAATAGATGGATGCAAAAATTAGAAAAGTCGAGGTCCACAGTTCAATTGAGGTGATCCGAGGGGGTTGATTGTAGGAACGAATTTGCCATGCTGGGGAATCGCGCGACCCAATAGTAAATAGTAAAAGAGGGCCGCAAAAGAGGCGCAAAATCTACAAATTCCCCATTCCAAATTTTGTCCCGAAGGTGTTGAGAAACCCCAGACCCAAGATCATCACTAACACTTGTTAGGGGCGTGACATCGCCACCCCCTATGCCCGACGAAGTGGTAACGGACATAATCGAATGAACAATAGGGGAGACGCAACTGAAATGGCCGGGCCATCAGGGGCAGATGCAATAGAAACTACTGGTCTAGATGCCAGCTCTGACGGTATAGAAAAAGAGTCACCCAATGACACAGCAGTGGTCTGTGCGACAGGAGCCGAGGATTCACATCAGCCGGCGTGATGCGGTCTGAACGAGGCCTCCCCCTTGGTCTCGACCCCCCAGCACCGGCAGTATGCCACTTTGTTCTTGCTGCCCGTGGCATCGTCTTCCCAAATAACTGGAAGGGGCTGGACTAAACGCAGTATACTTCCCCAAAGTTGCAAATGAATATAGAAGATGACTAACCTACAAAGGATACCTTGCAAATTTACAATTAACACTGATTATTTATTCCATAATAAACCAAACGAACCGACCTGGCAAACTGCTTAGACAAAAATGACCAGCACACACACTGGTTCTATCTATGAAGCTGTAACCAAACAGCTGGGTCATAACTCCAGCAGCTGTGTGGTCAGCGGGGAAATTTACTCCAGCAACCCAGCCTAGCAGCAATAAACTATTTGCAGCCCCAATGGGCCTAAAATAAATTAAAATAGCACATTATGCGGGGTTCAATGTAAGCGTGCAATACAGTTATGTATCACACTGTTTGTTACCATGGATCAACCCATCAGAATGGAGAAAATTCAAGTTTGTTTCAAGACAATATTCCAAGTTGCACTCAAGCTCATGTGATAAATAAGAGTACATGCAGCCCGATGATTGTTCACGCCAGTGGGTGACTGCACACACACTGTCACCACTCCATGATAAGCCAGTCATTTTAAACAACTGTTAAACCCCCTTGTTATTAAGCGAGGCACTCGACATGGTGTGCAAACTGTTCATCAGTGGTGAATTTGTGTGAACACAAATTATTTAAAAACTTCTCTCTCATTCTTGTGCCTATTTCAGCCAAACTTAGCAGTGGTCACCTCATGCTCAGTACATGTCAGTTCAAGCACGCCTATCAAAAGTCTATTTTTGGCTAATCCATGCTTTTTGAAGCCCACTGGCTCTACTTATGTATTTATTCCCATTAACCACTTCGGACATGACTATCAT